ATTGCGCAATAACGTTTGCGATATTTTGCAGAGATAATGAATTTTGATGTTCAGTCCGAGATTTGTTTATGAACACTTACTTACTAACTGAAAGCGTTTTACTGTGCTTGCTAAGCAGAATATTTTTTAGTTCCGTTGGTTTATTTTTATATGATGCACATATTGAAATGTCAAAAGCATTTATTAGCGGAAAAATCTAAAGAGCGGCTACAGTCTACCCCCCCCTTCGCTCCTTCAAGTTACACTCGACTGTCAGAATATTCTCCAATTCCAAGTATGCAGGTTAGTTAAGCTTTTACTGTTAAAGATGGCTGCAGGAAGCAAATTTCTGTCTTCTGATTTCAGAAATGTTTCTCTTTTTTACTTAAATTACTTTGCTTGCAATTTCTGTTAAGAGAAAACTGATATACAATGAAAATTTAGAAAATGTTCAGAATTTAGATTTAAATTATTTAAATATCAATATGAGTGGAAAAATAAAATTGTATTTATTATTAGGTTCCAAACGAATACAATAAATATGCCTTATTATTATTTATTTTCTCTATTTTGAACTGAAATTTCATCATTAAATCTTGTAATATAGTTTAATTCTTCATAGTTTTTTTTTCTGTCATTGTAAACTAGTTCTGTAAATTGAACTATTATTTAAAATTAAAAAAAAGTAATTATTTTCCATGGTTGAGGTAATGCTTATTCTCTCTTAATAAGTACTTCATTTCTGATATTTTAAATTACAATTCTAATTTTGAAGGTTATGCAGTTGTGTATGATGTAATTAGACAGGTGCTTATTTTTTTTCTTAAAATATGCTTGAAAAGTGCTTATAGGTGCTTATTTTTTTATCTAAAATGTGGCTATGAACCCTGGATTATGAAAAATTTAGTTCTTCCGAAGATTGAAGTATTAGTGAACAATATTCCAGCCACCGCCCTCCTGGATACAGGAGCTCAGTGTAGCTTTCTGGCAGAAGATTTTTTTAAAAATATTTTCGTAAATATAAAATCTATAGTTCGGAGAATACGTCAGTGATAGCAGCTGAGGGGAAAAGATCCAAATGTGTAGGTAAAGTAACATTGTATGTTCGCATTAAGGACGAGCAGGTAAAAATCATGTTCTTTATTGTAAGAAATCTTCAAGCCAGCATTATATTGGGAGCAGATTTTCTTTCAGCGTCTGCGAAGTAACATTCGATTTTAGTCTACCTTCCCTTAAGCTGACCATGAAACCAGTGCCGGAAGTGAAAGCGGAGCTCCTCATATTAAATCTCCAACACCTGCCATCACAAGAGCAAGAAAAATTACGCCCAGTGGTAAGTGAATTTTCTAATTTGAACAAATGACCAACCATGAGATAGACACGGGAGATTCACAGCCAGTTCGCCACAAGCCATACCGCTGTAAAAATATCTAAAGAAAAAATTATAGAATGGCATATTCGAGATATGCTAAGTAAAAAGATCATCACGCCCATCTCCAGTAGTTATGCCAGCCCGGTTGTTATATGTAAAAAAAAAAATAATGATTATCCGGTTATACACCCAAAAATGCGGCGTTTCGCAATAGACTATCCCAAATTAAATAGCGTCACTAAGTATTCAGTTTATCCATTACCATTATTGAGAAAATCTTGTGAAACATGACGTCCACTAAATATATGACTACATTAGATTTAACATCTGGGTATTTTCAAATAGGCGTAAAACCTGAAGATGCACCAAAGATCGCTTTTATAATTAAATCTGGCACTTATGCATTTTTGCATATGCCGTTTGGCCTTTCAGGGGCACCAGCAACATTTCAACGATGTATGGACATTGTGCTAAGACCCTTCCTAGGAAAGAGCACATTTATACTCGTATATTTAAACGATATTATTATTACCAGTGATAATTTGGATCAACATATAAAAGATTTAAGAGAGGTGTTTTCGTTATTAAATGAGGCCGGTCTAAAAGTTAATGTTGAAAAGTGCAAATTCGCAGCAACAGAATTACGTTATTTGGTGTATAAAATTTCTCAGAAAGGAATAGAAACGGATAAATAAAAAATAATTGCAATTCAAAACTATCCACATCCAAATACTACGAAAAGAATATCTTCTTTTTTAGGGCTCTGCTCATACTATAGGTACTTTAAAAAGGATTTTGCCACTATTGCCGAACCGCTATTAAAATTAAAAAGAAAAGAAAATAAGCTAGATTCACCTAGACGGCCGAAGCTAATACTGCTTTTGAAAAATTAAAACAAGCGTTAACACTAGTCCCTAATTTGAAATTTCCTGAAAATTTACAAATTGCGGCAGACGCATCGGATTATGATATAGGAGTGGTACTTTCCCAAAATAAACAGCCCGTGGCATTTTTAGCCGAACTTTAAATGATACTCAAAGGAATTATTCCGCCACTGAGAGAGAGGCACTTGCAGTTCTATTAGCAGTACAGAAATTCAGAGTTTATTTTATCAGTTCGCCAGTAACAGTGTATTCCGATCATGCGGTGGTCACTAGATTATATTCGGGGAAGGACTTATCCCAAAGGTTAATAAGATGGGCACTTAAGTTACAAAAATATAATTTGATAATTAAATAAACATACGCTGGGAAAGGAAAACGTCGTAGCAGAAGCCCTGTCAAAGTGGTGTTGGTGTATTTAATTATGGCAAAGCACACTAGGACTATCTGCCTGAGGTGAGGGATGCCTTCGTGGAGGACTTTCCAAGATAAAACATCTCCTAAGCATACAACGACCGTTCTTACTGAATATTACCAAGCATTTCGTACTTCCCCAACTAAAGCACTATGTATATTGACCGGTCTGCCACCGTTGCATCTTAGTGTGGAAAAAGAAGCGACTTATCAAACAGTCGCCCAATTAGGCCAACCAGCAACCCTCCATGAGGATAATTATTTCCCAGCGGAATATGAGAAGAAGTTGAGCCGGCTATGTGATCATCCAGCGAAACAGGGAAAAGGGATCATCCAGCGAAACAGGGAAAACATTAATCTCAAGCAAAATACTAACATAACGGATGTTGATTTAGTCTATTATACAGATGGCTCCCAAATAGATGATAACACAGGCTGTGCTTACATAGCCCTGCGAAACCTGGATACGCTACCACTTTGGAAAGGTCACCTGGACACCAATAACAGCGTGTTCCAGAGTGAGGTGTTAGAAATTGACCTGGGACTAACCCACATCATACAGGAGCAACATAATGGAAGCTTCATATTGACAGATAGGCCCACCAGCGGCCGAGCGGTAAAGTCGCTGAACACTGGTAGTTCGGTCCGAGGTTCGAATCCCGCGAACGGGCTGGCTGCATGGGTGTTTTCGTGGTTTTCCCCATGTGTAACGTTTATACGAGCCAGTTTCCCTTAGAAAGTCCTCCACGAAGGCACCCATTCCCCTTAGGCAGATAGCCCTAGTGTGCTTTGCCTTAATTAAATACACCACACCACCATATTGACAAATAGTTTATCGTCTCTGCATGCACTTTTAAATCCAGTGCACTATTCCCCGCTCATAGCAGACATCCAGTCGAAATTACATGACAACAGTCATTTAAACGTAAAGCTGCAATGGATAAAGGCCTTGCTGGCCAAACAGGAAACGAGCTGGCGGATCAGCTAGCCAAAGAAGCGGCGCAGAACATAAATGCTAAACAAATTAAGATACCTTGGCCAATTTCTTGTCTAAAGAAAAATCTTACTCAAAAAATCAAATCCCTGTGGCAGGAAGAGTGGAACTCTGACGACACGGGACGTCGTGTTTATTATCATATTCCCACAGTAACTTATGATCACCTCATAATACATGCTCAACTTGTACGGTATATAACGCAACACGGTCCTTTTCCTGTATATTTTGAAAGGTTTGGCATTACAAATACGGCACAATGCATTTTGCGGTGAGTTGGGCACGCCCGAACATTATGTAGCTAACTGCCCACTAACCTTTCACTGCCGATCCGCACGAAGGCGCATTTGCAGTTAATAAACATAAGTAAAAGATACAATTTATTATCCGTATGGGTCCCTCGCTCTAAGAAGTTTTATACTACTTTTAGTTTTTTTTAATTCGACTTCTTACATTGTAATCATAGAATTCTAAAAGGTAAAAAGAAATCTCTTACCTTTTTTTTTCTTTCACCCGGGAGCCGAGCTTGTTCCATTCTAATTCTTATTCGATGAAATATCTAAATAATTCCAAGCTTTTGCATAAAAACTGACACTTCTGTATAAATAAAGATATTATATTTAGATATACATTTTTATATACAATTATTAGATTACATGAAAATTACGCGCTCTCCAGCTAACAGTCATTCGAGTTCGGGTTCAGAGTTCTAACTACGTTCTTACCGTAGGATTATTCTCGAGTTTAGATGTAATGGTGCTGATAGTTCGGAGTTTAGATGTGGAGGCGCGCTGATAGTTCGGAGTTTAGATGTAACATCACCTCCCACCATTGAGATCCGACGATGCGGAGGAACTCAATACACACAGGTCCAGTCGATGAGGAGGCCGAACAACTCGTCCAGCTCTGGTCATCACTCGAGGACTTGAGGCAGGTTCTGGAATACTAGCAGCCTGATCAGCCTGACCAGTTGCATGGTCGTTTCTATCTATCTCGAGGTGCTCTGTCGGGGAACGGAGGGCCAACGGATTCGGAAGTAGAGATCTCCAACGGGAAAAGCCGGGGCACTGGACGAAGCAGAATTCCATTTCTTGTCTTGACCCTCGCTAGTCTAACTATTCCGTCTTTACTGGGGAAAAGCTCGACTATCTTGGCTAAAGGCCAATGTATGCGTCGTCTCTGGCTGTCTTCCAATAGAACGACATCGCCTACTTGCAACTGTTGAAATTTTCCCTTCTTTATTGCCTGTTGTCTCAACTGACCAAGATATTCATTACGAAATCTGTTTCGTAGATCATGTCTTATTCTCTGTCGGTATTTGGCTCGACGGTTTAGTTCTTTGGAATCTACGTAGTCCATATCAGGAACTCCTGATGACGGCAATTCTTGCAGGAAACATCATAGGGGTCAGTGGTGATGGATCTTGATTATCCTCTGATACGTATGTGATAGGTCGCGAATTAATCACTTGTTCACAGTCACATAATATAGTATATAATTCTTCATAATTTAAGGACGTTCGACCTAACACTCTTCTTAAATTTTCTTTCACCATTCGCACAAGCCTCTCCCACCAACCTCCCCACCAGGCGGCGGTCGGAGGGTTGAACTTCCATCGTATCCTTTGGATAGAAGCAGCTGAACATATGGCGTTCCAATTAACTTTCTTAAGAACACTGTTAGTCCCTACAAAATTAGTTCCGTTGTCGGAATATATCACATAAGGTCTACCTCTTCTGGCAATGAATCTACGTAAAGATTGGATGAAAGTTTCTGTAGATAGAGAAGTAACTAGTTCGAGGTGAATGGCTCTATAAATGGCACATGTATACAAGACTATCCACGCTTTAGACCCCTCACGGAGATAGAGAGGACCCGCTAGATCTACACCGACGACTTCAAAAGTCGCCCCTTCTCTGACTCGATCTTCGGGTGGAAATCCTGGCTCGACTTCCACTCTTTGTGAAACAAATCTTTTACATCTTACACATTTTCTGATAATATTTCGAATACTTTTTCTGGATTTTAATATCCAAAAGTTTTCTCTAAGATTTGTCATTAAAGTGCTGACACCAGCATGCTGGAGTTCTAGATGTTTCTCGTAAATTAGTCTCTCAACAAGAATATGTTTTGAAGGTAAAATGATAGGATATCGGAAATTTTCATTATCTTGACGCTGTAGGACGTTCGTTTTGGCTCTTAAAATTCCATTTTGGTCTACGATTGGTCTCAGCGCACGAATGGCGGGATCGTTTATGCCTGTAAATGATTCTTTCTGTACCAATCTACAAAGTGCCTTTTCAGCATTCTCCAATTCATCAACTGAGACATCAGGAGTGAGGTTTTTATCTTTGTTCTTTAAATTGTGATAAAACCTGAAAATCCAAGCGATCATTCTCACGGTTTTTCTAAATGAAGAGAAATATTTGTAGTACCGGTCCAAATTGTCTCCATGATCTAGAAGAGTCAAAATCGTTTTCCTTTTTTCTTTGTTTATAAGTTCTTCATCAGGCTTTTCTTCTACATGGGGCCACTCGTCTTCTGGTAAGTAAAGCCACGATGGGCCCTCCCACCATGCCGATTTCTGTAATTGCTCAATAGTACATCCTCTCGATGGGAGATCCGCTGGGTTTAAACTTCCAGGTACATGCCTCCAGTCAGATATTCTGGTAAGCGATCTTATTTCTTGTACTCGATTGTTAACAAACGTACCCCATGCTTGATCCCTTCTTATCCACCCCAAAGCTGTAGAAGAATCACTCCAGAACACTGTTCTACAATTCTTAAGTTTCAAATCTGATAGAATTGTTTTGGCAAGCCTGGCACCTATCAGACAGGAAAGAAGTTCAAGCCGTGGAATCGTAAGTTCCTTAATAGGGGCTATTCGACTTCTCGCGCTTACTAACTGAACCTTTACACCTTCGATGGTTTCAGCTCTTAAAAATGCACATGTGGCATAGGCTCTTTTACTAGCATCCGAAAAAACGTGGAGCACTACGGTATCTTCGTTTTCGTAATCAATATTTAACCAACGAGGAATTTCAATCTGAGATAGCAGAGGCAATTGGTTCAACCAAGTCCCAAACTGCTCACTTAGGGGAAGAGGAAGATCTTCATCCCACTTAATCTTCTGGTTCCATGTTTCTTGCAAAATTAGCTTAGGAATTACAGTTATCGGTGCAGTAAAGCCAATGGGATCAAAAATTTTCTGGGTAATTGACAAAACTTTTCTTTTGGTAATAGGTTCCCTCAAGTTAAATGTTTCTTCGATCTTGCAACTCAAACTATCTTTTTCTAAATCCCATACTAATCCTAATACTGGGACAACTTTCGTCTTGCTCTCTATCTCATCGATCATGTCAATGCGAAAATTTGATCGCCAACATCTCAAATTGAAATGCCCTGAAGCCAAAATCAATCTTGCTTCTTGAACGAAATTTTCAGGCTTCATCTACGTGATTTAAGCTAATTAACGAATTATCGAGGTAAAATGAATCCTTCAAAATATTAGAAGTTTCTACAAACTTTTTCTGGGACTGTAGTCAAAAGGTGACTAAGTGTAGCGGCTAGCAGAAACGGACTTGATGTGAGTCCAAAACAAACTCGGTTATGCCTGTAAATTTTAAACTTATGTTGATTATCGAACCATAGAAACCTTAAAAAATCTCTATCCTTTTCTGCTATTTTGATTTGACAAAAGGCCTTTTCGATATCAGATGACACTCCTATGCGATATTTTCGAAAACGATTCAATATACGTGGAATAATTTCTATTAAATTTGGTCCTTTACTCAAACAATCATTGAGAGAGGGTGAATTCTTAGAACGTGCAGATGCATTGAAAACAGGCCGTATCTTTGTAGTTTCACTAGACTCTTTTATTACAGGTCTGTGTGACAAGTAGTGCACTCCTTCCTCCTTTTCCTCAGTTACTACCTCAATAATGTCCTTCGCTTCCCACTCATCAAATATTTCTTCGTAATCTTTTCTTCTGCGTGTGTTAATTAGTTTACTTTCGGTTTTGACGAGGTGTCTTTCTGCCACAGTACGGTTACTGGATAAGACGGATTTATCTAAAATAAAGGGTAAGGTTACTTCATATCTCCCTGAGCTATCTCGTTTTACACTTTTTAAGAAATGTTTTCGGGTTTCTTCTTCCAAGACACTTTTCGTTTTGTTTTCCTCACTTGAAATCCCCAAGGTGTCTAAACGCCAAAGATTGGACAAATTTGTATCGGAAACATGTAAGGATAAAGAAAGAACGGACAGGGAACTCGACGTATTCGCATTCTCTTTAATCTTGCCCATTAAAGTCCAGCCTAACTTGGTCTCAAAGGCTACGTAATCCCCCGCAAAATGTTCAATTCTTTCAGTGAACAATTGTGCTGCGGTGTCCGCTCCTAACAGCATATGAATCTCTTCCGGATTTTCTTGAAACAGACAGAGATTTCCATTCACATGATTGTCGTTGATAAGGATTCCCCTTTTTTCCATTACTTTAATTAACTTTTTCGTCTTTGATCTTAGGTAGTGACGAACAAATTTTCCTCTGGTCTAGTGCTTCGATTTTACACCTGTACTTTCCATCCAAACTAGTTAAATCTATTTGATAACGATTATGATCTTCCGAAACTTCTACACCCCCAAATAACCCATGTTTAATTCTTTCAGTTCCTATCTTTTCTAATTTCAACGTTTTAGCAGCATATTGACTTATGTACGTGTTCTGACTTCCGGTGTCTATTAGCAATCTTAAATAACCCTTTAAGGTTTTCCCAGCTACCCCTACGACCAAAGTTTGTAAATAAACTTCAGAACGGTTGCTTTGATTCGAAAGTACTTTATTTTCAACTTCCTGGACAGTTTTGATCGTTCCCTTTTTACTCTCGGAATTAATTCTGTTACACATAATCGTAGAGACAATGGGAGCAAAAAATGTTAGAATCACAAAATTTGCTGATGTGACCCTTATTTTGTAAACACCTAAAACAAGTGCCATTTTTGCGTAGTATTTCAACCTTTTCGTCATTCGTTAGTTTCTGGGCAATAGGACATTTATGGCTTGAATGGGAAAAATCTCCGCAAAAAACGCATGCCTTAATCAATTTTTCTTTAATACCCGTGGACACTAAATCAGAAGCAGAAGAAGCTTTCGTTTCTAATTTATTGCTCTTTCCATCGCTGAAATGACGAGTGTTTATTTTCTGGACTGCATACGCAGACTGACGGCGCCCACTATTCGCTGTCGAATGCTCTGAATTCTTATTTATGACTTCCGCCCTTTCGCGTGAATCTAAACATTGAGCTATAATCAAGCACAGGCTTTTAATATTACAATACGCACTTCCATTACTCATTCTGTTAATCTCAAGCAAAATATCTTGGGGAAGTGATTTCAGAATTATTGGACATAACACACTTGATAAATTCTCGAGAGACTGACCCAAATTTTCTAAACATCTTAATTCGATAGAAATATTATCATAAAATTTTCTAAAGGCGCGAACATCATTCGAGATTTTCAACGGTTTAGTGTTCAAAATGTTATTTATGTGAGTGTAAATGAGCACATCTGTTTTCGCAAATCTTTCTTTTAGAAGATCAATTGCGGAATCGTAATTAGCAGCAGTAATCGGTAATCCTTCGACTGTATTTAAAGCAGAACCACCTAAATGAGCTTTCAAATAATTAAATTTGTCTATTTTATCTAATGAATCATTTTTATGAATGGCAGACTCGAAACTGTTCCAAAAGGTTAGCCAGTTGTTTATATCTCCGTAGAAATTTCGTTAAAGTTAACTTAGGTAATTTAATTCGAACAGACTCGTTATGTTTTGGTTCGCTTTGACTGTCAGTACTGAACTGGTTATTTACTACCGTTTCAGTAGATTTGCGTTTTAATTCGTCGATTCTTTTGGAGGTACGGAAACTGCATTTAACGACCTTTTGACGATATTCTTCAGATTTTTGGAATTCAGCATCAAATTCTTCGACTTTAAAAAGAGGTTCTAATTCTGTATCGACACTTTTAAGCGATTCGAAATTATTCTTTAATATTTCTAAATTTTCTTCCAAATCATGAATTTTCGGATCAATTTCCGAAAGCTGCGATTCCAAATCTTTAAGCGATTTCGTTACTGATGTTCGGAGAGCTGCGCGCTTCTTTTTTAATTTATTTAAATCTCTTCAGACATGTTCTTAACAGTTCAAAAATTCAAAAAGTAATCAATAATTGTATTCTTAATCTTTATTGTCTAATTTAAATTCTTATTCTTAGCTCGGGCGTCCCGGCAGGGATGCCAAAAATTTGTTGTATCTCTCAATAGAATTCTAAAAGGTAAAAAGAAATCTCTTACCTTTTCTTTCACCCGGGAGCCGAGCTTGTTCCATTCTAATTCTTATTCGATGAAATATCTAAATAATTCCAAGCTTTTGCATAAAGACTGACACTTCTGTATAAATAAAGATATTATATTTAGATACATTTATACATTTTATATACAATTATTAGGTTACATGAAAATTACGCGCTCTCCAGCTAACAGTCATTCAAGTTCGGGTTCAGAGTTCTAACTACGTTCTTACGTAGGATTATTCTCGAGTTTAGATGTAATGGCGCTGATAGTTCGGAGTTTAGATGTGGTGGCGCTGATAGTCGGAGTTTAGATGTAACAGACTTTTTTTTAAACATAAGCAAATTTTTTGAATGATTTTAAAGTTTCGACAAAATAATCGCCTTACGCGATAAAAAGCGCTACATTTTATGATTAGTATAAAAATACTAGTTCTTAGATGTGATATGTTTTTCATATCAAGAAATGAACTTTAGTAGAGTTTTATTTGGACTAAAACCAAGTCCATATTTATTAGCTTAAACTCTGAAATATCATTTTTATAAATGTAAACAAGAATTTACTGATACTTTTAAATTACTGTCAGAATAGTTTTATGTCGACGATTTGATTGGAAGCGAAGAAGACTTGCAAGCGGCTTTGAAGGTTACCACTGAAAGTGTAGAAATTCTCAAAAGAGGTAGCATGATATTACGAAAATGGAAAACAGCAAAAAAATTAAAAAATTTATTCAGCAAGAAAAGTATTTAGGCCGATCTTCCGCAAGGAAGTTTACTTTCGCCAATATTATTTTGTCTATACATCAACGATATGCTAAATATTCCTGATACTACTTTTGCCTGCTATGCGGATTACACCGCGATCATGTGCAGTTCTATTAGTCCCATAAAAGCAAGAGCTAAGCTTCAAGAAAGCTGTTAATATCCTCACCAAGTTGGTTTTTCACATGAAAATGAAAACCAATGCAACTAAGTCCCAAGTCATATTTTTTAGGTACAACATCAAAGAAGTGAACAATATAACATTAAATGACCCCACAGTACCCACTGTTAAAAGTATTAAATACTTGGGTGTACTGCTTGGCGATAAGCACATTATGGCCGCATATTACTCTCGTGGAAAAGCTCACAAAGCTTTTAAGTCTATGTTATACCTTAATAGGGAGACATTCAAAATTACAACTAAGTACTAAGAGAATTTTCTATCTTCAAGCAATCACACCGATTTTACTGTACGCAGCACCAGCATAATCCCCTACAGCCAAATCAAATCGCCAGATTTTGCAAAGATTGCAAAAAAAATTTCTTAGAACTATTACCAGACTCACCATGGTTAGTAAGAAATACTGCAATACATCGTGGAATGAAAATCAAACCGTTAGAATAGCGAGATCTTAATTGCCTCACATGATTTCTACACCAAATGTAATAATCACGAAAATGAAGCTGTACGTAGCATAGGAGATTATGACTATACAGTCATTCAACGCTTTAAAAGACCAAGAATGATACACCATAACGAATTATGGTGATCGATGTACGAGTACATAGTGAATTTAATGTTTTTTCTACTTTTCATTGTTTACTCTTATTTATCTTTACTTAATTATTGCAAAGCGATATGGACTTTGCGCCCCCGGAGGCAGGACTTTGATTTGGATTATGTGTATAAAATTTCAAAGTTTGTCAGTGCAACTATGCTTCCGCCCACTACACTGTTATATGCCTCAATACGAGGGTTGGAAGTTTAATAGTGGCAACACAGCTGAAAAAACGCTATGCAACAAAACCAAAGAATATCGCGTATACCACAACGTAAACTACCCTACCTACCTTACCTCTCAGCAAAAAGGACTCGTCCTGCCTACGTCACGAGCATGCGGAGTGACGCGAAGAACGAAATCCTTGTATTAGCTCGCGGTCTAAAGTAAGTGTTGTCAGGATGTTTTCAAAACAAGAAACAACGATTGTTGGATAAAAATTGAATGTGCCAGAGGTCGTACAGCATGACAGTGTCATCAAGGGCTTCAGGGGGCTTGCGGGGAATCTGCATTGCCTTAGAGAACCGTAGCAAGATGGGTGAAAGCATTCAATGAAGG